TAGTCTTACACTGCTAAATTAGGGACGGCTAGTGCAGATAGCCCTCGCGCAGGTTTGCGCAAAATAGATAACAAACAAACCATTGTATGTTTTAATTATATTGTAGCTTTTTTCTTTATTTGAGTTATAGGAAAGTTAGTTGGTTTAAAAATAACATATTTGATTTATTTTCAAGAAAAAATAATTATTTTAATTTCTGTTTACTGTTGCTTTTGTAGATAAACAGTTATCATAGTATAAGATTTGTTTTGCATAATAGAAAACAAAGATACATTTTAGTATTTCATTACTTTTCTGAAACTTGAAAATGGTAAATATTTGTAAGTTTGAAGAAGGAGTATCCTTTCTTTGGTGGTAAAATATTCCACACTCACATGCCAATGTTTTAGATGTATGTGCTCATGATAGAGAAAGAGTTAATAAATCTTTTAAAAATCTTGCAGTTTGCTTTAATGACAGTGTTTTATTGTTACCTTCTGGAAAAAGCAGTAGGATAATAAATACATCATTACTATGTAAAACAAGTCTTTATATAATAGTTTTATTATTAAATTGTCAAGAGATCTGAACCTGGCTTGTATTTCATAAAGATTTTAGACATTTTGTAAACATGTTGTTCGGTCTTTGAAAAAAAAAAAAGGTATTTAATAATGATTAAAACAAATTTTTAATTTTTGTTCAGGCATACATATCATTACTATATTCATGGACCGAAAGGAAATATTTTAACACCTGACAAAGGACAAAAACTTCCCTCCAAATTTAAAATTACTGACATAGAGGTGAGTTATGGGATTTTTCACTATAGCTTTAACATTGGTAAACTAAGTACAATATCGTATTTGATGTTGATGAAGTAATTTATGAAAATGATTCATTTTTTTGTGTTTCAGATTATACAAGTAGAAGTTAGTTGTTCGAAATATGAGTCTATACAATTATTTTTAGTTTTGATAAATTAAATATTTTATAATTGGTAATGTATGTGTGTGGGAAATAGCTTCTCTAATCCCAAGTGCAACTAAACAATCCAGTGAAATTTACTGTTTTTTTTCCCTACTAAATTGACACAATGTAATATCTGAATTTGTAAGTCATTGTAATCAATAACTCATTGTGTATAAAATTATAGTTTGTGTTACCACATATTTCACAAACATACAATGCAAATTTATATTTTCTGTTATGTTTATCTTAGTGTGTAACACGACAGTCATTATCTTAAGAGAAAAAAAACTAACATTTTTTTTTCTATTTCTACAGGTCAAAATGTATTCAAAAGGTCATCAGTCACCAAAAGTAACAAATCTTAGGGATGTAATTGATGACCTGGAGACTCAGTTTATTAGAACAGCTGCAAGCTGCTTTGAGTTCCGAGGCTTGATGAATGGTAAACGAGTCGTAGAAGGCCTTCTCAGATACCACCCATTTTTATACGACCATGAGACATATCCTTACGATCCGTATGGTAATTATAGCATTTAAAAGTTTATTTACTAAGAAAGGCACTTTTCAGAATGTTAAATGTGACATAGCGTGTATGATCTGAACATGGACTCCCTTATGTATGGCCAGTTTGGTTACGATCAATAGATTAGCATGTGGAGCACGTAGGGGGCCCAAGGGATGACACAGTTGTTTGGATCTTATATCCCCCCAACCCCAATGTCATTCCTTGGAAAGTACAGTAGTTTCACAGCTATAAGCAGGCATGTGCACACAGTCTTTTGGTCAATGTTAATCTGATTATAAGGAGGTCAAGTGCATATAAGCAGTGTATAAATCTGAGATCTGTCAAAGTGTAAATATTTATGTATTATTTCATCCAACTTTCAGGTTAAACCATTAATTTCATCTATAGCTGAAACTTTTCTCCCTCCCATTTTTCACTTTACAAGTGTGATGGTGATCGTTTTTTTGTTGTTGTTTTGCTTTTGGTATTTGTGAATGAATATATAAGGCTTATATATTTATTAACTGTTGTATGTTTTAGCACTTCCTCAACCAGAGGACGAAAATGATTCTATTATGGCTGATACGAGACCAGGAAGAGGAAACCGACCCATGTTTGAATGCTTTTGGAATGGCAGACTCATACCATATACAACTATTGATGAACTTCCATGGTGTGCTACTCCAAAAAAAGTAAAAGACGTTCCAGTAGAATGTTATAACAGGTGCTTTTTTTGGTATATTTTTAAATAACAAGTATTTGTTTTTATTAATTTTGAAATCATTTTGTTCAACTGAAGAGGTCAGCACTTATCATCAGTAGTCACCTACATGGCCAGAACTAAAATTTATGGGAAGGAACAATGCAGCTAATCACTCAACCAGGCTGGCTAGAAGTACATAGTCTCACAAAAGCAAATATTTTATAATATTTGAATCCATTGATTTTTAACATCTTTGCTACTGTAATGAATATTGGGATCATATAAAGCTCACCAAAATTCTTGAAGTGAATACATCGTGTCTTTTAAGTGATAAGAGAAAACTTTTCATCCAACATGTGTTAAATTGATGTGAGTGTACAATTAAAAAGTGGATTGTGTTCAAGGTTGTATTTTTTTTTTTACTTTAACAGAGTGTCTGGAGTGCTTTGGACTGATGACAGTGTTCATGTAACCACAAATAAACAGACATTCATTGATTTGGAGAGACAACTGTTGGACAAGAATACCAATTTTGTTCACGTGGTTGATGGCCAAGTAAGAAAAAGTGAATATCAACTTGTGTAAAAGAAGAACGTAAATACCAATTAATTTAAAGATTAGTGTTATTGAAAAGTTACTTTCATGGTGAAAATATGCAGCAACACATTGATGATATTGGTTTTTATGTTTCATTGTAAAAGTAAGTTAAATGTTTTCACTGTGATTCTAAATAGATTTCATGGATACTGAGGCTTCAGATCAATAAAAAAATGTATTGTTGCTCTGTATATATTGTGATGAGCAGTCAAAATATTTATTGTGTGATAATTGTTAATTAAAAAAAGTAAGCAGATGATTATTAATTACTAAAGTATTACTTGTTATCATGAAATGAAATGATGATATGTTCCTGTAGTTTGCATTGTAATGTTTTTTAAGTTGAAATGTAACAAATCTAATAAAGTATTTTTAATTCATATTCCTGGTTTAATCTAGTTAAAAAGAGGGGTAATTTCAAAGGAATTCCAAGAGTGGTTGAAGACTTGCAACGAACAGTATGACAAGCAGGTGATGTTCCGAAACTTTCATGGATACACCTCTCGTTCTGATGTTCAGAAACACAAGCAATATCCATGGGCAATGTTTTATGCCATTGAGTGGGATGGCAGAGTGTATAAGAAAGGACAACTAGTAAGTATTGTCTTATGAATTATTTGTGGGCTTTCTCTTTCTTACTCTCTCTCTCTTCTTTTTTTTTTTTTCAGTAGACTTTAACAGATCTTATCTAACAGTTGAGTTGGAATGTCTTTCATAGAGGCTTAAAACTAGAGAACTGGTAACTGATAATTTCCATGTTATCACTTGCTTGCTTTAATTGTAATAACAGACTCTGCTGAACTGTAGTTCTTATTAATTTTCTGAGTGTTGGATTTAATGTCATATGTGAGGCTTCACAAGCTCACACCAAATTTGAAATCCTCTGAGAACCAGTAATTAGTTGATTTTGGGCAATCAAGCCAGTATTCCACATCATCATCTCTACTATTAGTATTTTATTTTTTGGTATGTTACATATAGTAAGTAGGTGGATTGAAATGTTTCTGGCACTCATACTACCAATGCTGCATCCAGTAACATTCTCTTTTGAAGTTTTATGAACTGTTTTTCCTCATAACATCTTGACTAACTGGCTTTTTATGGCAGCTGCTGACCTTTATAAACCACACACAGCAGTGCATTATATAAACCACATACAAATTTAGTAAGCATGTGTTTTTTTTACTAGTAGGTTGAGTACTGTCTCACTGTATTTTTGTTAACTTGGTGTATATAAATTTTAATATTGATTATGTAACATGTAAAGAGCAAAAATAACAACAACGTCATATGTGTCAGAGTTTTTCTTTTGGTTTGGAAAAGATTTGTTCTTTTTTTTTCGTGTGTACTTTAACTATCTGCACTCAGAAGTTTTGAAGTTTTGATTTTGTGGGTCTGCTGTTGGTAAAAACATCTGTGAGTTTGTAGTGTATTTTTCATCAAGTTTTGATTTTGATGTATCTGAAAATTTATATGTATTAGACCCCATTTATAAAGTTTCACAGTATATAGTTTATTCATTAGTACATCTGGTAGTGAAAAGAAGTTGACAGCGGGTTTATCTGATTGAAGTTGTTTTCACCATGTCTGTTTCACAATTATTTGCATTTTTATTTTGGAAAATAACTTGAGATGTAACAAAACACCATGGAACCTGACAATTAAAAAAAAGAAAGCAGTTGAATAACATGAGTGTGTTTAATATTTCTAAAAACGTTTTTTTTTTAATTTTGAATTTTATTTTGATAGGTGCGTACACAAAGAACAAATCCTATTATCATTGGAAAAATCGAAAAATTTCTCTTGTTTGGAGAACACAGTGAAGATGTGTTTGCAACAGGGGGAGACATGGAAATCAAACAGGTGCTCGTACTTTTGTTTTTCTAAAACTGGATGGCGGATATATTTTTTAATAAAACCAGGAAAATTTTGTTCTAGTAATAATGTTCCTTTTTTTTTAATAACTTCAAAATGTAACAAACCTGAATAAAAATAAATGTTCTCTGTACTTTTTACTTTTTTTTTGCTTATAGTTAGATTTGAACGTGAAAATACTGAGATGTAAAATGTAGTAATTGTTTTATCAAATTTTTTTTCTGAATATAGAATCATACAGTTTATAGTCTCTTCTGTAGCAGAAAAAGATTATTTTTTAATGTAATCGTAACTATCAGAACCTTGTACTGATTTTTTTTTAGAGAAATAGTAATTTACCCTTCTGGTAGCTCATTGTGTGATATCTCATTTGAATATAAACTAATCTTTATTTAGTATTATCAGATGATGTAATAACTAACTATTAGAAAATATAATAACCTTCTGTTTGTTTATTGCATGGTGTAGTGTTTGGATTGAAACTAATATTTATAATTAACAGTAACAAATAATGTTCATAAACTCGCAGTTACACAGTACATTATGTTTGTGTAAGAAATGGTTTTTAAACTGTGGCATATTGTTTAAAGTCTATATGGAAATGTAAGAACAATTTTGCCTTGTTACGTAGCCCACAGTAATATATATTTACTTTTCTTTTACAGGAACCATCCTATCTTTACAGTGAAAGTAAAATTTATCCTTTGGCCAAGCTAGACAGGAAGATTGGAGAAGAGGGTATTAAGAAAATTATATCTGATGAAGAGGAAAAGTAAGTGTAAATCCATATTGAGTTATTCAACTTTATCCAGATTGTTCAACTACTGCTTCTAAAACATCAGTTTCTGTAGAAAAAAAAACAACAACTCAGTTATCACACAAAACGTAATATACAGGTGTTCATATTCTTGGGACAGCAAATAGCATGCTTGATGGGATGTGGGGAAAAGCATCGGTGAAACTTTCCTTTGAAATTTGCATTCCCTAGACAAGGAACTTGGCGTGTTCATGTTGAAATAATGTTTTCTTGTTCTAATATGAAAGATGTGTTTGAATAATGGTTGCACCAGTAAACAAAAAGAAGGGATTTTCATATGAGAACCAACTTTTGGGACACATTGTAATTAATTCTGAGTTGTGTGTTCCTACCTATAAAATACTTTTCACAGCAGGGAAATTTTTCAGTTAGGGAAGTAAAGGTTAAATCGGGCAAAAAAAAAAGTTTAATTTTGGAATAAACAGAGTATGATGTGTGTAGTTATAATGTTTCCCCAGGTTAACCTGGCATCATCAGATACAACAACAACTTTAGTTTTTTATTTGAACAGAAAACAACCTGTGTGAAACTAGTAATGCAAGATCTTAAGTTTCTTTAAAGGAACTGTTGAATGTCGGAGCATCAGATTGTTCGAAAGAAATACATTTGACATAGCCCTGGTTGGTAGTTTTGTATAATGTTGTTCAATGTATATATATCTCTGTGTGTAAAGATTTGAAAACTCTACTGTAATTTTTCTGTAGGTTACCTGACAAACTAACTATTTCATGGCCTGAAGGAAATGAAGTGAAGAATGCAGAAAAGATACCAGTAGGGAAACTCATAGGTATGAAGATTTTGTGTGTGTAATGTACAGACTCAAGAAAACTTGTGGGTATAAGATTCTGTTTGGGTAATGTTCAGGTTACATCAGTTTTTTTTCTACCATGTTGTTTGTTTATGTATATAACTTTTTTGTCAAAAAACACTTATTAACCCTATTGTTACGGGTATCCTTTACTGCAATGACACAAGGTTTTAGTGTCTTACATTCAAAGTTTTATTAAACCACTTTTTGTTTATGTTATACCAATTAGAATAGCATAAAATCTCAGCTAATAATCCATATTTTAATAGTATATGAGTTTTAAGTTCTTAAGTCTACAAGGCAATATTAAAAAAAATCCTGAATTTCCCCTAGTGTGACACATTTTTTCTTAGCATTTCATCATCCCTAGTTTATCCACCACCCCTTGAAAAAGTGCGAAATTAAATGTAAATCACTCTCTTTAAAAGTGCCATTGCTCAGACAAACCATAATTTTTAAATTTATCAATTTTGTTTGGTTACAGAGCTATTAAATAGAAAATCAGATCCCTCCTGTCACATCCTCTCTTTCAAAGTTTGTTCATAGTTCTCTCTTACGTTTAATTATATATTACCTATAACCAATAGAAAGTCAAGGTTTTCATCTATCAAATGATGCATTATATAACGTTTTGTTCTGAATGGTTAAATGTCAGTTTCACTCAGAGTACCAACATCGTTCCCATGAGAAAGTTAACGACTAGCTTGGATGAATTTGTAACGACTTTTATCACATAGTTAGAAAGCCAGGACAATTTTGAGAGGTAAGGGAATTTGT